TGTAGGTGGCTCAGTTGGTAGAGCTCAGCAAGAAGGTCGCCAGATCAAATCCCGGCCCAGGGACCTTTCTGGGAAGAGTTTGCATGTTCTATTCGTGCATGGTTCTCTCCCGGTACTCCGCCTTCTTCCCACACACCAAAAACATGATTGTTAGGTTAAATGGTAACTCTAAATTGTTCCTCGGTGTGAATGAGATAGTGACTGGTTGTTTGTCTCATTTGTCTTTATGTGTGGCCCTGTGATGGACTTGCAAACTGTCCAGGGTGTACCCCGCCCCTCGCACAGTGTCTGCTGGATATGGGCACCAGTGACCCCCATGACCCTGAAAGGAAGAAGTGGGTATAGATAATGGATGGATGAATATGTATATTATAATTGTTTATTTTAAAATAAAGTGTTTTTCTTAACTATTTTGAGTAGATTTCTAAAATTGTACCTTAAAATTTGCATATCTTTTATACTTTACTTTTGATTTTAATTATCTTTGTTTTTGTTTGTTTTTGTCATGCTTATATGAAGTCTGTTCAAAGCATGAACAGACATCCCTTGCATTCAGTCATTATAACACTCAATTTTCTGAGTCTGCCTGCAACTCCAAACATAAATCAGTGCTGGAAGTTTCTTAACTGCTTTGTGAAATAATGACCCCTTGTGGAAAGCCAGGGAACTGCATCTAAAAGAACAGACCTTGAGTTATTTTGTGTAGACGTGTTTGTGATTATTATAATAAAACTGTAGACATGTGTGTATGACTATTATATATAATAAAACTTTAGAAAAAATAAATATAATAAACAGATTGACTGTCGAACCATTCTATAAGCATGAAGCACAACTTGTGTGTCAAACTCCACGTGTATCCAAATCAACAGCAATGCAAAAATGAGATTAATAACATTGAAGATAAAAAAGTAATAAATGCATACATCTGATATTAGAAATCCACGAGGAAAAAGTTCATTTATCCTCCAAATGGATGCTGAAATAATCACAGCTGGGGTTAATAAACTGCCATGATGCAATGGAGATTTCAGCTCTCTGAGTGACCCTTTGCCCCCACCGTCTTCTTATTTTAATCTTCATCTTACTTTTCTCCTCAGCCTCCCTCTCACTCAGCTCTCCCAGCCCGATGTCTATCCTTAGCTGTGCCATAATTACTTTGTTGTCTTCATCACAACGCCCGCAAGCACCACAAGCTATTCAGCATGGCCTTCCCCTCCCATGCTGCTGTGCATTTAGTCTGTGCAGATGGTCCTTTTATACGACCTTCACTCACATCTACTAATCTAGGACTTTTCTTTATTTATGGCATTTGTTAAATGTAAACAAATGCACTTTGTTGTTGTGAACAGAGCAAACACATCAGAAAAGCTGTGTCATGCAGAAAAATAAATATATACTACAACTCTAATGTTGGTTTTAAATGATTTGAGGGCTTTTGTAAAGTGAAGTGAAGAGTGAGCATCTACGCTAATTTTCCTTGTTCCCGTGGAAACCACAGCATTGAAAATGTACAGTACATAACTTCATTGCTGTAAAAATGTCCAAAAAACACATTTTGTTCATCACATGTATTGATTTAAAAGTATCTATTAATATTATTACTGTGTACTTTGTACTGTGAATTTCCTAGAAACACAATTGTGAAGAATCTGAAGTATTTACATAAATGTGTGTAAAACGCCAGCAGGGACTGAGCTGGCCAAAAGTGTCAACAAGTGGATATGATGCTTTATAAATAATTTTCTATAAGAACGCTGATAAATGAACACTCATTGGTTCATTATCCCCTGTCTCTGAAGTCAAGAGGCAATAATATTTCTGCCTGTGTCTGTGTTAGCAAAATATCCCATGAATCACTGGACAGAATTCAAATAGACTCAGAAAGTAATAAATAAATGTACATCATGATTAATGTTTTGGAGCCAGCCACATATAGAAGTCCAGCACACCTAATTCATCCTTAAACACAGCCACGACTATAGGTCAGACAGTTTTATTGAGTTAAAGTCTGATCAGAGTTTTATAATGAAGTACATTTACTTTGTTATATTACGTTTACTTAAATCATTTATTTTGAGGATTTGTACTTTTACCAAGTATTTTTTGAAATCATTACTTTTATTTTTTATTTAACACCTAGTTACTCATTTCAAAATTAAATATGTCCAAACTAATCATGAAATGAGTTAAGTTCTAAAAAAAATGTAGTGTTGAACTTACTCAATCAAGTCACTAAACCAAGTAGAAGAAATATGAGGCAATATACATATTTTCTTCAACAGAAAACTTTACTAAACTTGGTTTTGTGGAACCAGTTTGGCTTAGTAAATTCAACAGTTTATTTCTTAGAGAGTGTGTAAAAATACTTTTACTTTCCCGACTTCTGTTTTATGACTGTTACTGGGCTACTTTTCTCATCAGTGAAAGTTATTTTTACTACTTAATTTTCTGTTAAGATATTTTTACTTTTACTTAGTTATTTTTCCAAGTACTTAGTCTATAGCTCTGAGTCTGATGTGGTAGTAGCTGACAGTTATTAACAACACACACCCTGAGTGCTAACACATGTCGACATGTCGCCAGATTTTATGGTGAGACTGTACCAAACATCATTTGGCCAAAACAGCTGCTGCTCTTTTATACTCATCATAAAATGATCTGAAACTCTGGCATTAAAGTACAGAAAGTGATTATATATATATA